CCTTGTCCTGTGATCCCCCAATCCTTACCTTGTCCTGCGATCCCCCAATGTCCTCCTGCTGTGTCCTCTGGCCAATGCCGGCATCCGTCTTCTGGGTTCCCTTCCTTGCGAGTGATGCATGGGGGCAGAATCGGCGTAAGATTCAAAAAAGTAAAAATATGACATACACACAATACATTGTAATCTGTTAGGATTACATTACTGTATCAATCCATTTAACCTCAGTTTTGTCCCTAGTGCCCTGCCTGCACTTTTACCGTTCTTTCTGCCTGGAAACTTGAGAACATCTATGGCATCCAAAGTGTCCCTTTAGGTCAAAAGCGGTTTTAGACCAGCTAGGGAACAGCGATAGTGAATTAGAATCACTTGCAGAATTGAGCAATAGTGATTCGTGGGGAAATTTGTCATCAGACACTGAAAGTGACGACAGCGACGATTCTGCGACTGAGCTCAGTGATGTGCGAACTTGGTGCTCTATTGACTGTGGTACAAATCAGGCAGCGCCCCCAAGATTCCCATTTACTGGAGCATCTGGTATAAAAGTAGACATTGAACACGACAACCCCTTGGCATACTTACAATTAATTCTGACCGATGAGGTTATTGAAAAAATAGTTACTCAGACAAACCAGTACCAAGAGCAACAACTGACTACTCTGCATCGGAAGTTTCCAAGAAGCAGAAAGTGAGAGCCAGTGACCAAAGATGACATTTGGACATTTCTGGGCCTAATAATACTTCAGGGAGTGGTGGGGAAATCCCTGAAGAAGTGGTATTGGACAACTAATAAATTACTTGCCACTCCATTCTTTGGCACGGTCATGTCAGAGTACAGATTTTCCCTGATCATGAAATATTTACACTTCGAAAACAACGAAGAATTTGATTAAACTACTCATTCTGCACCAAAACAAAAGAAATTTTTGGGAAGTACCGTATTTATTCGAGTATAACGCGAAAAATTTTCTACCAAAAAAAGAAATCAAAGTTTGGGTGCGCGTTATAAACGAGGGCTGGGGTGGGGTGACGCAGTGGCGGCCGATCCATTGAGGGCGCAGGCGCTCACTGTACGCGAGGGCGAAGAAAAAAAAACGTCCCCTGTGCGGCCCCCGCCCCTTTAAGGGGCGGCGAAAACGGGATCGTTTTTTTTTTTTTCTACGTCCCCTCGTCGCGTACAGTGGGCGGCCCGAACTGGCGAGATGCACTGGTGGGGTGACGCAGTGGCGGCCGGTCCATTGAGGGCGCAGGCGCTCACTGTACACGAGGGCGAAGAAAAAAAAACGTCCCCTGTGCCGGCCCCGCCCCTTTAAGGGGCGGTGAAAACAGGAGATCGTTTTTTTTTTTTTCTATGTCCCCTCGTCGCGTACAGTGGGCGGCCCGAACTGGCGAGATACACTGGGGGTGAGAATTCTTATCCGCTGTAACATATGGTCGCCTCTTCATTTCCTTTCCTCGCCCACACGTTACGGTAAGCATTGCTGTTTTGCTGTTTTGCACAATTCAGTGTTCTTCATATTTTTGGTTCTTCAAAAAGTGAAACAAAATTTTATACCGATTTTTAATCGAAAATTAGGGGTGCGCATTATACACACGTGTGCGCGTTATACTCGAATAAATACGGTATCTCAAATGATTCTAAAGAATTTCCAATGGAGCTATGTGCCAGAAAGTGATATCAGCATAGAAGAAAGTATAATGGCCTACAAGAGAAGGCTCAGCTGGGTACAATACATTGCATCAAAGAGAGCACGATTTGGCATAAAATCCTATATGCTATGCGAATGGTCAACTGGCTACATTTGGAATTCAGGTATATACACTGAGAAAGGAACAGAATTAAATCCAAAATACAGCAACTATGGAATGGCAACATCTTCTGTTCTTTCACTCATTGAGCCATTGCTAAATCAGGGCTATTGCGTAACAACCGACAACTTTTATACGTCTCCTGAACTTTATGAGTTTCTTCTGCAAAACAAAACAGATGCCTATGGAACCGTTAGGGCTAACCGGAGCAACATGCCGCCAATGTTTGGCAATAAGAAGCTGAAGACTGGAGAAATGGTTGCCTGGCAGTAAGGCAAAACGATGGCACTGCGATGGCGTGACAAGAAAGATGTGTGCCTAATGAGTACAATTCATAATACTTCCACTGTTATGGTACACACAAAAGGTGGGAAAGAAATCATGAAGCCACAAGTAGTGATAGACTACAATAACACCATGGGAGGTGTCGACAAAGCCGACCAAGCAATGACATTCTACCCAGCAATGAAGAAACAGCAAAAGAAGTACTACAAGAAGATCTTCAGGCATCTTCTTGAGCAATGCTTGTGGAATGCCTACATTCTGCTAAAAAAAAAGAGTGGCAAGTCTGAGATTCATTCTGACTTCATTTGGAAAATTGCAGAACGTATCTTTTTGAACCACCAAACACCATCAATGGCTGTGAATAGCAGCCGTTGGCATTGTCAACTGCTAACGCCTGACTGGTCGTCACTTTGTGGACTACATCCCACCAACCGAGAAAAAGTCAGCACATACAAGGATGTGCATGGTTTGTTGCTCGAAGCGAGATGACAGTGGAAAGAAAATCAGAAAGGAAACCAGGTTCCATTGTCCTGATTGTGATGTCGGACTTTGTGCAGTTCCATGTTTCAAAATTTTTCATACCCGGGATGTTTACTAAACCAATATGCAGTGTCTAGTAATACTGCACCCTTGTTTTGACAAATTTCAGTGTTTTTGGTATGATTTCATTATTGAATTAAATTTATTATTACTATATTATTATTTTTTTTATAATTATTTATTATATTATAATTTATGATTTCGTGTTTCAAACTTTTTCATGTTTACTAGACTCTTGTTTGGACAGATTTAAGTGAGTTATTCTTAAGAATTACAGGCCTACAATATAAAACAACAAATTTCCATGCAAAAGAATGTACCGATTTGACATTCAAAAATATTGACATATGCAGATCGCTAGGGAGGTTAAATAATCTGCTATGCTTACCCACTGGTATATGTGATTATTCTATATCATGCATTCATATGCCATATAGATTGAAAAACTGGAAAAAATAAACACATCATCTCCACATCCTATCCTTCCGGCACCGTTTATTCAATTAAAACCATTTTTCTGCATAAATTCCTTTTTGCTTTTATGTCAGAAATAGGTCAGTAACAAAGATGGTATTGCTTGGCTGTAGAAAGAGGCAAAACTCCAAAAAAAGAATGGAAAAATAGTTAACGCAAAATGCCTCCCAGAAATGTCTGTGAATTATTAAAACAATTATAAAGACTATAGCAGCAAAACATCTTCAGTAATATTAATATTGATAATATATTAATAAGATAATAATGGCTTTTTGGTATTACTATGCAATTAGGTCAAATGGTTTGTAATACCAATAGGCACTATGGGGCAGCACAGTGGCTTAATGGTTAGCACTGCCAGCACTAGGGTCACTGGTTCAAATCCCAACCACAGCACCACCTGCCTGGAGCTTGCATGTTCTCCCTGTGCCTGCATGGGTTTCCTCCATATACTCCAGTTTTCTCCCACACTCCAAAGACATGTTGGTAGGTTAACTGGCTCCAGTCTATATTGTCCCCAGTATGTGTATGTATGAATGTGAGTTAGGGACCTTAGATTCGACACCCCTTGATGGTTAGGGACTGATGTGGATGTACAATATATGTATGTAAAGTGCTGCATAAAGTGACAACACTATATAAGTAACTGAAATAAATACATATGGGGTTGATGCACTAAAGGCATATGGGCCATTGACTTCACAAAGGAATTTTTCTCTAGGTTACTGAATGTGGCTAAAATTCACTTCTCAAAGAATACCCAATCATTTTTGCTTGCACACGATTGGATGATGGAAGTTAGAAGAGTTTTACATCATTCACTGAGCTAAGGAAAGTGAACAGCCTATTTTCCCTTAGCAAAACAACCGCTATCTAAAGATACAGTATGTATTCAAAGAGGGAACTTACATTCTTATATAGTTCCTATGCTGCATTCTTTAGGTGCATTTACCTAATCTTACAAACCTACTACAAGTTCAGTACTAACTATATCCAGGGCTGCATTGGTGGAACTATAAATCCCAGCATGCTAACAAAAAAAAAACACATATTTCTAGCTGACGGAATATAGCTTGTTCTATTATACCCACATTTTTCTGACTGTAGCAGTCAAATTTAACAAGCAGCTATGTGTCACTCCTGAAATACGACATCAGAACATTTTATAAAACCGACATCTTCTGCCATACTTATGGGAAGTGTAAAGTACAGCAGGTGTTTAAACACAGTGCTACTGAACACCTGCTGACAGGCTGCTGTGACCTATAACACAAGAAGCCAAAACCACACATTCCTCCCATGTTGCTGGCTCAAGCCCACCGTATTACAGCATACAGTTGGCCAGACACCAGAAGAATTTTGTTTGAAATTTTTTTCTTTCAGAACATTGGTTTGGTTTTCTAATGTTCAAATCAATAACCATAGTGACTAAAAAATTTAAAGGGGCAGGATAGAAAAGTTTTCCCGAAGTTTTCCCAAACTAAGTTCTAGTATTGTAATACGTATGTGTGCTAGGCACAAAACAAACCTGTCTGGGATTCCATTTAAGTTGCAGGTCTGGACAAAATTTTAAAGATTTTCGAATGAAATTAGTTGACTCAATGATGGCAAGATGGAATGCACTGCCAAACAATTTTTCAGAATTTGCGTAAGCACGTGCAAATGAAATTCTACTGGTGTATGGCCGGCTTAAGGCCTCACATTTGATGGAGCATGTTTAGCAGTGCCTAATAAATACATACTTGTACTGTATGCTATGAATACAATAAAATATGCTGTATCAAGGATGATGTCTACCATTGCTAACCACACAGATCCTATTTGTTTAGCTAAAAGTGAATAATGTTATCCCAGACTGATCCTACATACACCCAGGTAGTGCAGGGGCTCCATACCGCACAGGCTGACTGGGGTTGCTGCTGGATCCATTGTTTTCCACGTTGGATTCACTATTCTGAGATTTCAGAAGTCGTAGCTCATCAGCTTGCAGTGCATTATAAAAAGTTTGGACACCCCCATCTGGGGTCAACACAGGGCTTTTTGCCTCTTCTGCACGGTGATTCTTTACCAAATTCACAGCTGTCACTGGTAATTGCAAGAGCTTCTGTACAGGCTTCATTGCTGGAAAGGTGTAAATAGTGGCACCAAAACTGTTGTATTTAGGACACGATCCACAGTGTGCTCCTGAATAGAATAAATTGTTCAATATAATCACAGGAATGTTTACGGGAAGTCCAGATTAAACAGAAGTATGCAGAAGACAGTGGCCTTGGGGCTTAGAGGTTGTCCAAGAGATCTGGAAAGAGATCCTCTGGAATGATGGCAGTCCAGTCACTTTAAAATGATACCCATCTGTGGTAGCTCCTATACACCTGTCCCGTGTGAAGTGGCCAGGCTTGTTCCTCTAAGTTCCAGTACAGATCTTGCAGCAATGGTCTGTGAGATGGAGCATATAGGCTAGGGCAAACTAAGCATACATAACTATTTCTAGAATAGATCTTCTACTGATACATCTACAAACTAAGCATACATAACTATTTCTAGAATAGATCTTCTACCGATACATCTACAAACTAAGCATACATAACTTTTTCTAGAATAGATCTTCTGCCGATACATCTACAAACTAAGCATACATAACTATTTATAGAATAGATCTTCTTGATACATCTACAACAGGGGATAAATACGACTTCAGAGCCATATTAAGGGGCTTCCTATAGGAAACAGCATTTATTACATCTACCTGTGTCTCTTTCCTAGCAGTACTCTGCATAGCACATCCACCATTTATACTGGTGGTCAAGTTGTAGACCTCCTCCCTCCTGGTTCTTCCCCACCCTCCTATTCACTGTTCTCCTATCTGATTACATTCACACCTATCACCTCTGCTTTTCTAGCTGTAATTCTATCCATTGCATCCCAGCTTCACTCCTCTCCTTTCTTGTCCTCACTCCTGAAGCTCTTCTCCTATGAACATTCCTGGATCATCTCAGCCTGTCGCTATCTCGGTGACATGCTCTGTGCCTTGGGCAGACGTTCAGCCATCACATAGTAAGGCGCACTCCTTTTTTTTTCCTCTCCTTCAAGCAGCTGGTCCTGTTTCAGTCAGTTTCTGAGCCACGTTTGCAGGTCATTCTCCTCCTCCAGTTTCCCCACTCCTCCCACACTCACACATCTCTGGAGCATATCTCTGTGAACATGACTCAGCCTAGAATAGATGATGTGCTACACACCCCACTGCCTGCTCTCAGACTTCCACATGCTGCAGATCTCCTCCCCTGTCTAGCCTGCTGTTTCGCTAATGTTTCATTCATTTTTTAGTAGCTACTAAATTAAAGGGTACTATTAGGGGGGAGGCGGGGGTCTGACTGTATTGTGCAAAGACAGCCACAGAAACCTCTTTGTTCTGATGCATTACTGTGCCCTCAGCAATTGGGAGCAGTAACATTATCCATCTTCTGTAAGTGCCCTGTATAGTGTCATCGTCCTATAAACACTGGGAGAGATGATACACAATATAGGTCCCATGGCACTGAAACTTTTAACGGAACATTTGGGTATTTTACGTGATACTTTATTTGCAATATTTTATTTTTAAAGGCTGAGGTCACCTTTTTGCAGAAAAAAAAGCCCATGCAGTCAAGGGGCCCCCAGTAGGTGTTATAAAACTTTGCAATTTTTGTAAAAACGTCTGTACAATCTTTATTTAGCCCTGGTTCACTCTTTGTGGGCTGGTTGCTGGCACAGAAATTGAATATGTTCCTGCACTCGCAACCACCCACAGCCAAATCGCACTGCTCTTACAAGACGTGCAGGGCTGCCAGTCATTTGAATGGGCTGTCGTGCCTGTATTTTCCGCAAAAAAGGAGCATCCTTTTTAACCGCCTCCAGCCCATCATATAAGAAAATGATTGGCGCAAGGCGGTTCTCTCATTCTGGGAGGACGTCATATGACGTGCTCCCACTCTAACCGTGCGTGTACAGCTCTGGGGGCGTGCAGCGCGATAATCGATGGTGTGCTGTGTCCCTTGGACACAGCAGATCACTGATCAACAGAAAGAGCCGAAGACGTTGGCTCAGTCATGTGATCAGCTGTGTCCAATCACAACTGATTGCATGTACAGTGAGGAACAGAAGTATTTGAACACCCTGCGATTTTGCAAGTTCTCCCACTTAGAAATCATGGAGGGGTCTGAAATTCACATTGTAAGTGCATTCCCACTCTGAGAGACAGAATAAAAAAAAATCACATTGTATGATTTTTAAAGAATTTATTTGTCTTGCACTGCTGAACATAAGTATTTGAACATCTGAGAAAATCAGTGTTAATATTTGGTACAGAAGCCTTTGTTTGCAATTACAGAGGTCAAACGTTTCCTGCAGTTCTTGACCAGGTTTGCACACACTGCAACAGGGATTTTGGCCCATTCCTCCACACAGATCTCCTCTAGATCTGCCAGGTTTTGGGGTTGTCACTGAGCAACACGGAGTTTCAGCTTCTTCCAAAGATGTTCTATTGGATTTAGGTCTGGAGACTGGCTAGGCCACTCCAGAACCTTGATATGCTTCTTACGGAGCCACTCCTTGGTTATCCTGGCTGTGTGCTTCGGGTCGTTGTCATGTTGGGAGACCCAGCCACGACCCATCTTCAATGCTCTGACTGAGGAAAGGAGGTTGTTGCTCAAAATCTCACAATAAATGGACCCATTCATGCTCTCCTTAATACAGTGCAGTCGTTTTGTCCCCTTCGCAGAAAAGCACCCCCAAAGCATGATGTTACCACCCCCATGCTTCACAGTAGGGATGGTGTTCTTGGGATGCAACTCATCCTTCTTTTTCCTCCAAACACAATGAGTGAAGTTTAGACCAAAAAGTTCTACTTTGGTCTCATCTGACCACATGACTTTCTCCCATGCCTCCTCTGGATCATCCAGATGGTCATTGGCAAACTTCAGACGGGCCTGGACATGTGATGACTTGAGCAGGGGAACCTTCCGTGCAATGCATGATTTGAAACCATGACGGCGTAGTGTTCTACCGACAGTGACCTTTGAAACTGTGGTCCCAGCTCTCTTCATATCATTGACCAGCTCCTCCCTTGTAGTTCTGGGCTGATTTCTCACCTTACTTATCATCAGTCATACCCCACGAGGTGAGATCTTGCATGGAGCCCCAGTCCGAGGGAGACTGACAGTCGTCTTTAGCCTCTTCCATTTTCTAACAATTGCTCCAACAGTTGATCTATTTTCACCAAGCTGCTTGACAATTGCCCCGTAGCCCTCTCCAGCCTTGTGGAGGTCCACAATTTTGTCTCTGGTGTCTTTTGACAGCTCTTTGATCTTGCCCATGGTAGTAGTTGGCGTCTGACTGACTGTGGGGTGGACAGGTGTCTTTAAAGAGCTCAGACAGGTGCTACTAAGTTAGCTTAATGAGTGGAGTAGAGGTGGACTTTTTAAAGGCACAGTAACAGGTCTTTGAGAGCCAGAATTCTTGCTGTTTCTCAGGTGTTTAAATACGTATGTTCAGCAGTGCAAGATAAATAAATTCTTTAAAAATCATACAATGTGATTTCCTGAATTTTTTTTTTTAATTCTGTCTCTCAGAGTGGGAATGCACCTACAATGTGAATTTCAGACCTCTCCATGATTTCTAAGTGGGAGAACTTGCAAAATCGCAGGGTGTTCAAATACTTCTGTTCCTCACTGTAAATAAGGAAATGCTGGTTATCGGCATTTCTCTCCTCACGAGCTGTCACGCTGACCGCTCATGAGGAGAGGAGAGCCGGTAATCGTCATTTCTCAGAGGGGACATGTACACTGATCATCAGGGCACTGATGATCAGTGTGCCCTGATGATCAGTGTAGCCCCAGCAGTGCCACCTGTCAGTTTCCATCAATGCCAGCTGTCAGTGCTCATCAATGCCACCTGCCAGTGCCCATCAGTGCCACATCAATGCCACATATCAGTGCCTACCAGTGCACATCAATGCCACATATCAGTGCCCATCTGAGCTGCCTTTCAGTGTCACCTATCAGTGCCAGTCAGTGCCACCTATCAATGCCAGTCAGTGCCACCTATCAGTGCTGCCAATTAGAGTCAGTCAGTGCCGCCTATCAGTACATGTCATTGCCGCCTATCAGTGCCGCTTAACAATGCCAGTCATTGCTGCTTAACAGTGCCAGTCAGTGCCCCCTATCAGTGTTGCCTATCAGTGCCCTTCAGTGATGCCTACCAGTGCCTCCTCATCAGTGCCCATCAGTGCCACCTATCAGTGTCCATCAGTGCAGCCTATCAGTGCCCATCACTGAAGTCTCATTAGCGCACATCAGTGAAGCAGAAAAATCACTTATTTACACAATTTTATAACAAAAACTAAGACATTTTTTTTTTTCAAAATTTGCAGTTGTTTTTGGTTTGTTTAGCAAAAAATAAAAAACCCAGAGGTGATTAAATACTACTAAAAGAAAGCTCTATCTAAAAAAAATGATAAAATTACATATGGGTACAGTGTTGCATGACCGCACAATTGCCATTCAAAGTGTGACAGCGTTGAAAGCTGAAAATTGGCCTGGGCAGGAAGGGGGTAGAAGTGCCCTGTAGGCAAGTGGTTAAAAACACCTTTTTTGACCATTCGATTTCCCTGCGGTTCCCACACCTGTGGGTTGAGATGTGTGGGGGTGCCATGCAGAATGAATGGCAGCCCCGTGCATTTCGTAATAGAGCAGTGTGATTAGGCTGCGGGTGGTTGTGAGTGCAGGAACAGATGCGATTTCCGAACCTGCAACCAGCCCGCAAGTGTGAACCAGCCAAAGATGACACTGGAATGATTTCTCCATCCTCCTCGTTTTTGTTTTTTTCGTTCGACCAGCATCATCTATGGCCAACTTCAATGAACATTTTACAAACCTGAACAGTTTTATGATGCCTACCACGGGCCTCTTGACTGCATAAGCTATTTCCTAGAAAAGGTAAACTTAGCCTTTAAGAAAAAGCTTTCAAGTGTTTCTCCTTTATTAAATTAAAGCAGCCAGTTAGACCCTATGGAATGACTGGATATCTGTTTATTTCAGGCATTTATATAGAACTGACAATTTACACAGGGCTTTACATAGATTGTACATTCATATCAGTCCCCG